CAAAGAAATGGAAAAACGTTCCATGCTCATGAATTGGAAGAACAAATATTGTGAAGATGTCAATGCTACCTAGCGTAATCTACACATTCAGTGCAATCCCCATCAAAATACCATCCACTTTTTTCAAAGAAATGGAACAAATAATCCTAAAATTTGTATGGAACCAGAAAAGACCCCGCATAGCCAGAGGAATGTTGGAAAAAGAAAAGCAAAGCTGGCGGCATCATAATTCCGGACTTCCAGCTCTATTACAAAGCTGTCATCATCAAGACAGTATGGTACTGGCACAAAAACAGGCACATAGATCAATGGAACAGAATAGAGAGCCCAGAAATGGACCCTCAACTCTGTGGTCAACTCATCTTCGACAAAGCAGGAAAGAATGTCCAGTGGAAAAAAGACAGTCTCTTCAACAAATGGTGTTAGCAAAATTGGATAGCCACATGCAGAAGAATGAAACTGGACCATTTCCTTACACCACACACAAAAATAGACTCCAAATGGTTGAAAGACCTCAATGTGAGACAGGACTCCATCAAAATCCTAAAGGAGAACACAGGCAGCAACCTCTTCGACGTCAGCCGCAGCAACTTCTTCCTAGAAACATCGCCAAAGGCAAGGGAAGCAAGGGCAAAAATGAACTATTGGGACTTCATCAAGATAAAAAGCTTTTGCAAAGCAAAGGAGACAGTCAACAAAACCAAAAGACAACCGACAGAATGGGAGAAGGAGATATTTGCAAATGACATATCAGATAAAGGACTGGTATCCAAAATCTATAATCTCATCAAACTCAACACCCAAAGAACAAAGAATCCAGAAGACATGAACAGACATTTTTCCAAAGAAGACATCCAAATGGCCAACAGACACATGAAAAAGTGCTCAATATCGCTCAGCATCAGGGAAATCCAAATCAAAACCTCAATGAGATACCACCTCACACCAGTCAGAATGGCTAAAATTAACAAGTCAGGAAACGACAGATGTTGGCGGGGATGCGGAGAAAGGGGAACCCTCCTACACTGTTGGTGGGAATGCAAGCTGGTGCAGCCACTCTGGAACACAGTATGGAGGTTCCTCAAAAAGTTGAAAATAGAGCTACCATATGATCCAGCAACTGCACTACTGGGTATTTACCCCAAAGATACAAAAGTAGGGATCCGAAGGGGTACATGCACCCCGATGTTTATAGCAGCGATGTCCACAATAGCCAAACTGTGGAAAGAGCCAAGATGTCCATCGACAGATGAATGGATAAAGAAGCTGTGGTATATATATACAATGAAATACTATGCAGCCATCAAAAGGAATGAGATCTTGCCATTTGCAACAACGTGGATGGAACTGGAGGGTATTATGTTGAGCGAAATAAGTCAAACAGAGAAAGACATGTATCATATGACCTTACTGATACGAGGAATTCTTAATCGCAGGAAACCAACTGAGGGTTGCTGGAGTGGGGGGTGGGGTGGGAGGGATGGGGTGACTGGGTGATAGATACTGGGGAGGGTATGTGCTCTGGTAAGCGCTGTGAATTGTGCAAGATTGTTGAATCTCAGATCTGTACCTCTGAAACAAATAATGTAATATATGTTAAGAAAAAAAAAGAAGAAGAAGAAGAAGAAGGTAGCAGGAGGGGAAGAATGAAGGGGGGGAATCGGAGGGGTAGACGAACCATGAGAGACGATGGACTCTGAAAAACAAACTGAGGGCTCTAGAGGGGAGGGGTTGGGAGGATGGGTTAGCCTGGTGATGGGTATTGAGGAGGGCACATTCTGCATGGAGCACTGGGTGTTATACACAAACAATGAATCATGGAACACTACATCTAAAACTAATGATGTAATGTATGGGGATAATATAAGAATAAAAAAATTTAAAAAAAAAGTATATTACCAAAAAGCATATTATCAAAGGAAGCTATTTCCGTTTTGGAGAGAGTCATCTCATAAATACGGTGTTGGAGGCTTTAGTCTCTGAGTTGTAAGCACTTGTTTAGAAAGGCAAAAGGATATAAAAGTTAGGATGTATTAGGATGTATTTTGCCAGAAATACATAGAAACAGACCCACACTGGCCATCAGTTATGGCCAGCCTGATGCCTTCAGATGTTGCTATATCCCAGAGTGACTCGGGAATCAAAGATTAATTCTGCACAGAAGAGTTTTAGCATGAAGTGCTTCTAGGCATTACGGTTTGCTGAAAACTGACCATCTACATATGATAAAAACAGCATGTAATACCCTCAGCAAATGCCACAGAGTCGGCTTACAGCTGCAATGACGTCACAAGGACACAGGCGACCCACCCGCCCTCTGACGACAGGAAGGATCACCACCAGTCACTCTAAGATCTGAGAGTGTGGCAGTGGAACAGAAAGGACAGGCTATTTCAGAGAGGACTGCAGAAATAGGGACAATAAATTAAGAAGTTTAGCAAATAATCCCACCCCTTAGCCTAAGAAGTTTCCCCTGACCTGGAGAGAAGAGAAGTTATAAACTTAAATTTTTATAAACACACATGTGGCATCTTTGGCTTCAAACAAGCAGCAAGGCGTGTGGCCGTGCTGCCCAGGGTCAGCGGTCCATCCCTGCCAAACTCTCGGGGCTGCGTGGTCACAGTACTGACCATACTCTGTGCACAGGAGGGATTAATCCTGCCACAGATGTGACAGGCAGAGAGGGGTCGTGCCATAATCCACAGCAGGCTCCCTCAGCCACTGCAGTTCTGTCTAAGCTTCTCGGAAGCCCGCCACCATAAAATGCCTTACAGTTCAGTTTGGAGGTTGACGTTCTATGAAACTCCGGATAAAAGGAATGGGAAATGCCTCTCTTCCCCCTGGCCTCCCCGCCCCCCGCCCCATTCCCCTTGAACTCAGGGTCAGACTTCTAGGGAACCAGATCCTATCTGGGAACAACCCAGCGGTCAGTACAAAGAGACATTTCCCACCCGTCTCCCCGAAAGGGCTTTCAGAGGGATTTCGGACACTCTCCATCTCCGCGTGCGGAGGCTGGGTAATTGCCGGGCTGACCCTCGGGAGCCTCTTGCCCTGCTCACCTTTCACTATAATGCGTGGTACAGCATAATCATGAAATGTGCTTATTAATTTTACTCATTTGACACTGCGCTCTTCTGCCCTGAGCTAGATGTTAGGAGAAAATGATAGGGATAGATTCTGCTCCTGTCAGACCTACCAAGACTTTCAGAAAACCAGACTATCAAAGGCCATCTGCCACCCACTAGCCAAGCTTTCAAGATGACCCCAAAGGTACAAACAGGATGTTAAAGACACCAAATCAACAAAGGAGAACAGCAAGAAGACGTGGAGACCCATGCCCTGGGTGTGAGCCCCCCCGCATGAGCCCTCTCAGGAGAGCAACCCCTGAGCCAGTCCTCCCAGAGATCGCAAGCACTGAGCCCCTGCCCTGATTCATGACTTGCTGCTTCATATCTAATTCATCAAAAGACACGTTGGCTTCTCAAATCGGGAACATTTTTATTAGCTTCCCCAAGAGTTTTATGGCACAAAGCCATATCTAATGATTCTATTTTATGGCAAGTTATACATTCAAACAGTGCTTTGAAGTCAGACAGCAGGTAAGACTCAAATCTTTGTCAAAAAAGATTCCCTGTCCTTTCACTTTTAAAATGTTTGTAAGCTTTCAAACAGTTGGGGAAGTGATGTGGAGCATTTTAACGGGCTTCTCCTCCCCTGGACGGGACCCAGTGTTGGCTGAGCCAATGTATACTACAGCCTTCTCAACGGGGGCTGCTTTTGCCCCTCCGTCCCCTCCACCTAGGGACATCTGGCAATGTCTGCACACATTTTTGGTTGTCACAACGGGGGGGGGGGGGGAGGGAGGTTAATGCTACTGGTATCTAATAGGTAGAGGCCAGGGATGCTAAGCATCCTATATATGTAGCGCAGGACAGCCCCCCAACACAGAATTATCTGATTATCTGGTCCAAAATGTCACTAGTGTCAAGGTTGAGAAACCACGCCTTAGGGCTTCTTCGGGACCAGGCACTGTATCCCTCCCACCCCTGGGACATCAGATGCTAATCTAATCATGGTGGCAGGTTTTCAGTGCTGGCTAATGAGCCTCGCATTCTTTTTATTCTTATACATTCTTGGCGCACATTTTCAATAAACAAGAACAATATGCTGTCTTAAACAAAATGAGGAAAGTGAAAATAAGACCACCTTAGAATCTCAGGACACATGGCCACAGTCACTGGTAACTAAACCCTCCTAATGTTACTCTGCACCTTTTAAGCAATTTATCTAATTGAAACAACAAAATAACCAATTCCAGCCATCAGTATTACTGAACACCACCACAGACGCCAGCTGAACAGCAAAGCAAGTTCTTTGCTAAATTGTAGTGATGTGATCAGTCAGAGCAGTGGACTTGGAAGGGGGTCGGTCTGGTCCTGATTCACCACTCCCAAAGACTGGGCCTCGGCCCTCTGTCACTTCACTTGTCGGAGCTTGGGTTCTCTTAATCAGCAAAGTGGTGAAAAAGCTACTTTGCCCTCCTAGCCTTCCAGGGAACTGTGAGAGTCAAATGACTTCACTTGGAAAGGTTGGAAACTGCTCTGCAAACTGTAAAGAGCTATGAGAATGTATGGCAATACACTGATGACACTTATGCATGCATGACAACCCATGACAAAGATCTTTCAGACTCTTGGATCCTGTTCCTGAAATTTCACAACTGGAAGTGAGTTTAGAAATCAACAGAGCCAACCCTTTAGTTTTACAGAAGATGAAAATGACCATCACAGAGGTCAAGTGACTCGGCCAAGGCCAGGAAACAGCCCAGGTGGACTCAGGTCCTCTGACTCCCAAACCAGGACACTCCCACACCTTCCCACTGGTGAGGCTTTCCCTCCCTGTTTAAGTTCCCAGAGGCAAGGAGCACATTTACACACAAGGTTCGGGGGGTCTTGAACACAGGAGATAAATATTGGTTGAATTAGTGGATCTTGACTTACTACATCGTAGCCTGTTGGGGCTCGGTTCCGAGAAGCCACCACCCCCACTCCCGTGATGGGATCCATCGACGTCTCTGGCAAAGCTTCTGAAAGGTCTTTGACTTCAGGCATGGTGGATTGGTCCTGGTTCCGAAAAGGAAAAAGAAAGCACAAAATTCAAACTGACCATTTAAAGTGAACGATACAAAGTCTCAAACAGAACCGGAATCCTGGCGCAAATATCCTGAGCTAAGCTCCATATACCTGAATTGGCTAAAGGAGCCCCAGCCTTACCTGACCCTTTCCTCAGATCAAGAACTCAAGTCATCTCTAACCCCTGCTCTTCTCATGTTGGCTCTGAACACTGAGCGAACATAGTTAATGAGGGCCCGTCCCTGCTCGGAGAGGTAACTTTGACTCAAACCCAGAAGCAAACCATTCTTCCCACTCTCAACAAGCTGCCTGACTTCTGAACAGATACCAACAGCTTCTCTGAGGAGAAAGTAGACACAGCTGAATCTAACGTCACTGTTCACTTCTCTCCCTTACAGTATCTCCTTGTGGAGGTGCAGACTTCCAAATCCACAGCCTCTCGCACAACCAAGCGTGGACTGTTCAGTAGGCAGAGCTTTGCAAACACATGGAAGAAAGTGTTCTGGGAATGCAGGCAAAGGAACGGCGTTCAAGTCCAGGCTCCATGGTTTACTGGCTGGTGACTTTGAGCAAGCAAGAGGTCACGATATGGACAGTCACAGAGCTGCCGTGAGATCTAAGGGAGTCACCTAAACGAAGGGCCTGGAGGAGTCCCTGGCACACAGTGGGCACTCAACAAAAAGCAGATGAGACTGGCAGGTTTGGGGCCCACAGGTCCAGCGTAAGTGGCCAGAAATATGGTAGGCGCCATTCCTGGGAGGACTGGCAGGTGCCTTTGTTGTGTTTAATCCCGCAGGTCATGTGGGCACTTACTCAAAGCTAAATACTAACAATGACCATAATTCTTGCTGGGCACTTCAGGAGAAAGGGAGGGGAACTGGAATTATTATTCTGCTGCTGACTGCCTCTTGATGTGACCAGAGGAGACAAGGAGAATATAGAGAACACTGGGTCTGGGCAGCTGGAGTGGCAGGGCACCAGAAAGCAAATAAAAGAGGTAACACCCTATGTAAATGACTTCTAGTACTTTTAAAAGGACAAGCAGTGAAAAAGAGCAAGTTAAATTCCACCTCCTTCTGCAGCAATTAAATTCCACTGACTGTAGGTCTACCAGATCTCTCAAAGCTGGTTACTGCTTCTAAAGCAAACCAAACACCCTGCCTAACTAGGCAGGGAGAAGAAATATTCTTAGTTCTCAGCCTAGAATCAGAAAAGGCAGAGGCTATTAAAAATGACTGCAGCCTTCTAAATGGGAACAATCAGAATGCTATATGCAAGTCACCCATGTAATCAGTGTCCCCTGAAGCCCACAAAAAGGCTCCGGAAACTGACTTGTCAATGAAATTGAGCCAAGTCTCCAATCAAGGCTAGGAAGTGCCTGGCAGAAGCCACACTCTCAACTTCGGTTCATGACAAAAGCCAAACTAAGTTATGCTTTACTTAATTCTACTGAAAATGAGCTTCTAGAAGCCCAGGGCAGGGGGTAGGATACCATGCCACACCACTGCATCATTTTCTATTTTCAAATTTCATTTACCAGGCAGGTTTATATAAAGCACCGGGCTTGGCGCTTCCTGCACAAAGTAGGCAGGAAGTATTTATTGAATGAATAGGCATGCGTGCCCCCCAGTAAAGAAGGTTTAGCGTTAAATAGCTGCATCAGCCCAGTCCAAAGCAAACACTAATCAAAAAGTATCATCACTTGGAAAATCCCATAGTATTGGTAGCATGAAAATAACACTGCTGCAGTTTGAAAAATATGGGTACCTGCTGTTGGTTACCAAAACGCTTTGCAATTAACAACTCATTAACGGAATGCACAAATTCTGCCAGTGCTAAAATATCATGCTGTGAATTTAATAAAACATCCGAGGTAAGTTTTTTTTTTTATTATTATTATTAAGATAGTACTGCCTCTACTTTGTGAGCGAGAGAGGAGGCAGCATGGGACTAAATATTTTATTTGCTGATGGGGTCCCGTCCCCGGGTCGCGACGTCCTCGCGAGGCGCGGGTGACAACGGCTCTCCCCGCCCGAAGCCGGCGGTCAAGGGCAGTGGGGGAACTCGCCCCCGGGAGCCCGGCCGCTCCCACAATGCACCGGGGCGGCAGCCGGGCCGCAGGTTCCAAGATGGCTGCGGGCTGCCCCCGGCTGAGGCAGACAAAGGAGCCGGCGGCCTGTGCCCATGCGTGCACGGCCGCAGCCCAGCCTGCAGACGGGAGGATGCGACAGCAGAGCATGAGCACAGAGCATCTCGGATGCACGCCTCCTTCTTCCCTTTCCCCCCAGTTGCTGTACCCTGGGGATCAAGGCAGCCTTTGTGAAATACAGACAAATGACTCCTCGCGGCGCGGGGCCGCGGCCGGCTCGGCGGTGGAGGAAGCCCCACCACCAGCAAAGGAAGCTTTTAATGAGAAACGCCCAAGATATCCATGGCAGAGGCAATCACTCAAAGCAGCTTGCCCTGAATTACATATTTTCTGACTGCAAATTACTTTTAACAGCGTCTCTACCGTCACTTCAATTGACCTTCCTAACAAAAGGCCATTTATTAACTAGCACTCCACGTTTCCCGGGCTGTGTGGAGCCTCGAGCCAGAAGGGATGGCACCGCCGAGTACTCAGCCGCCCAGGGTCACAGGCCAGGCCTCTGAGAGGGGAGAAGAGGCCATTAATGCAAGCCTGCAGAGCAGATTCTGCCGGGGAGGGGAGGGTGGGGAGCGGGCTGTTTAAGACCAACGTTAACCTGTGTGGCAAGAGGCAATGCTGGTCTAAAACATAAAATACCAAGGCCTACTTGCAGCAACCCCTGATTTCATCCTCAGCAGCTCCGCAGCAGATAGAGACCCACCTCTATCTCAAAATCCTAATTGCACACAAAACACACTAACACACCAGCTGCATTTGTACAGTGCTTTGCAATTCTCAGAAAGCTTTCTTAGGCTCCTTCTTGACTGATGATCATACCAAACCTGGAAGGTGGCTAGGTCTAATTACCTCTATCTTAGAGAAGACGAAGAATTTAGAGAAGAAGGCCCAGAGTTGTCAGCTGCCATGCAACCGGCAGCCGGCCCACCTGAACAGGACCTCTAGTCCTCCTTCCCAGATCTGATCTGCTTTCCATGACACTGTGCAGAGAGACCAACATCCCATCTGATACCCAACTGAGAAAGCAGTTTCAACACTAATTATATTTAAAAATGCCAAAGCTCTTCTTTCTCCAGCTATAGCCCAATAAGTGAAGCAAGGGGGAGAAAAGTACAGAAAGATAAAAGTAACATGGGATTAATTTTCCTCACACCTCAGTTTCAAGATTCAACATTTCCCTCATAAATAATTTACAACAATAAAAATGAGCTAAGGCCATGTTTGTGTAGGACGGAGGTAAATTTAGGCCTAATGAGGGAGATCCGAGCACTGCACAGGAGGGAATAGGTTGATGTATAGCACCGTGCGCGTGCAATCGACAGCACACAGGGGCTCCATTACCAACGGGAAGTCTCGAGGCCCACCAGGAGGAGGGGGGAGCAATTGAGGGAAACTTCCACCATCCAAGCTTGGCTGCAAGGGGAGTCTCTGCAGGGAGAGCCAAAAGTTGACCAGTCTTTTAGATGACAAGACGACGGAGGCTGAGATTTCTCAGGACTAAAAGATTGAACCAACCTGAAATTAAGTCAGTTGTCAGTAAATGCCAGGTGAGGAATCAAGCTGGTGATGGTACCTAGGAGTCACGTCTGCTGGTGGACACAGGGAGAGTGCAGTGGCAACACTGACCTTGAGCTGGTTCTCCTCACTTAACCTCGTGGGTCATCTGGCCCCAATTCCCAACCCAATCTCTACCCCGGGTGCATGGCCAGCCTCCACTATATCATTTCCAAGGCTAGGGGCTGCTATTCCTATGTCTGCCCCAAGAGGATTTATCCGCCAGGCAGAAGAGTATGTATGAATGTGTTGTGGTGTGTGTGTGTGTGTGTGTGTGTGTGTTGCATGTACATACTGGGGCTACAAACGATCAGTTAGGGTGAGGTGTGTTTTCCAGGCCACGAGGATTTTTTCCATGTCATACCTGATGAATACTATGCAACAAGGCTGGGTAGGAGAAAACCCGCCCCCCACTCTGCCTGCAGTGTTGCAAACAGTACCTGGGGAAGGCCCCGGCGCCCAGCCCTGCAGCACCTTGGCAATGCTGTCATCCCAGGTTCACAGAGAAATGAACTTTAACTATACAGCCTCTCATACAGACAGCACACTGCTCCCTTGTAACTGATCAAAGAATTACTACAACAGTGTGCTTATAATCCCTAAAAGTCAGCAGTGCTGGGCTTAACTGATGCTGAATATTGTTTCAGAATCAAAGGCGTGCCTCCCCGGCCCCAGTCTGGGAGAAAACTAAGCTACTGTATCACAGTTGAAAACTCAGGGGAACTTTGATATCATCTCTGTTTAATTTCCCTGGCCCTGTGAGCCTGGGGTTTATCTCGTTTTATCAACTCCTGCACTGAAATCAAAACCCAACTAACAGAGCTCAGACCTCTCTCCACCGAGGCCCTTCCAGCAGAGGGGTGGGGTGGGGGGCAACAACTGCAGGGGGGAAGGGGGCGCTCCATCAAAGGAGGTGCAGCAGGAACCCAGACTCGGCCTCCCCACCAGCTCAGAAGCAGCGCCAGCACTGCCCACCCAGGGCTGAAGGCATGACTCGCACACAACTTTGGAGGAGAGTAATTTCAAAGTATTGGTGGGGGGGGCAGGTTAAATTGGGCTACTGTAATTGAAATGACAAAACCAGTGGATTAATTAAGTCCCTACAGAAAGATGAACTTGCAATCAGCTTGTCTGAAATCCAAAGTCAAGGGCACAAAAGACATAAACTGTCTGCCCGCGTCCACCAGCTTGCGGGGCTGGGGAAGAGCAGTGGATAAGAGCAGTGGAACCTGGGGGCGCCTGGTGGCTCAGTCGGTTAAACGGCTGCCTTCGGCTCGGGTCATGGTCCCAG